ATCAGTTTCCCAGGAGACGAGTTAAGCCCTACTTGGGTGTTCCAGCTCTTTTTAGAACCAGCAATAATTAGACTCATCTCACTCCCAAGTTGTCCTTTCCCCCCCACCACCCGCCTTTTTTTTTTTTAAAGATCATCAATAAATGCATTTTTTGCATACAATTATATCGGCGGCTGCGGGGCAGGGCAAGGCTGGTAATTGCCCTCACTTCTTTTATAGTTGAAAGGAGGAATATTTGGGGAAAGTTTTGCCAGAAGCGGCGCGCTGCGAAGCGGCGACCCGTTCTTTTGCCAACTTGGAAGTGTGACTTTCTTATCAAACTGCTGGATATGGCATCTTCTTTGTGCTTTGATGTCTGCTGTCTTTTGAGACTATCTCTGCATGTCATTAGGGAGCCGAACAATTAAAGAAGCGCCTTTTTTTTCCCCCCCCCTCCCCCCCCAGACGGGAAGGTTAAAAAAAAAATAAAGTATTAGCGAACACAACTAACTGATTTTTGGCCTCAGATCACGACTCTGAATAATGAAGCTCACTATGAAACTGGCTTTTCGTATCCAAAAAAAAAAAAAAAAAGAAAAGAAAAGAAAAAGAAAAAAGAGAGGCCAATTCCAATGCGCGAGTATATTCTCCCTAGTTTTATCCGCCGGCTCGTGCAAGGCGCGGATCGGCCGCGGTAATAACGAAAGTCGTTCATGGTCTTAAGCGCGTTTCCCAGAAACGGACAAGCCCAAATGGGACGATTCCTTTTCGTTCATTTTCTCCTCCGGGTTATGGCTACGGTCGGCACCTAAGACTCGATCCCAATCTCGGGGAAAATGCCGGGATACCTTTTAGATTATTATTCAAAATAATAATATCGGATCGGGCCCGAGCATGCCTGATGCCCCTCGTCTCTCCCTCCCGACCCGCTCCGTGGTCGCTCTGCTCTTTCCTGGCAGGTTTATGGATGCTCTAAACGCAGACACCGGCTCGGGAGGCTACCCGGGCTCCCTTCCCTCAGAAAAATAATTGGATAAATACATAAAAACAATAAAAATGGTCTACGTAGGAGGAATTAAGCACCAAAACGGAATCTAACATATTGTGCGACTGGAGGGTCTGCAAAGCACGGAAATAAAACCCTGGGATTCTGGGGATGGGAGGGTGGCTGGTAGGGAGAAGCACGTTTTGCAGGAACAACCGAAAAACGTCAGGAAGGCGCTGGAGGGCTGGGGGACGGCGCAGCTCCC